TTTTAAGAAGCTTTATCAACAACACTGATCATTAATCTGCTAGCTAAAGCTTGTTAGGTTATCTTTTTTATGAAAAATCCATTATGAAACGAAACGAAATCTAAATTCAAGAAGACCCATTGATGTGGGATTGAAATTGACCAAGATATGAATTTTTTTTCAACTATTGATTTTTCAATTTTATCACATAAATCGAAGATGTGGAAGCTGAAAAACATCTTGATGATGATGATGATTTATTAGACATAACAAGCACAAGTAACATCAAAGTCGTTTTTGACCATAAAATCATTACATAAGCCGTTTTGGGACCTTTCCCATGAACAAATTCATGCAAGAACAGTTATTTAGCAGAACAGACCCCGTCAACTCCTCCTGAAAGTTTTTGTCTTTACACTTAGGTCCAGATGAGTAAGCCACCTCTTGCATCTGGTTCGTCTTTAGTGAATTTTGCGTTGCTACAGTTGACTCGACTCGCTTGTGCTTGTTTTATACTAAGGTTAATAGTTGGCGGGGGGCGACGTTTTTTCTAGTATAGCAAAGGGGGGGTAAGAGCTATTTTCTTATGCTTCGGAGGGGGGGCTAATTTTCTGCTTGAGAAATCTGGTTTTACGATTATCAAAAGTCTGACTGTGTTAATACTTTCTTTCGTGCACTTTCCCGGCAGAGAATTAAATTCAAAATCACTTCAAACTAACGATGCAGCAGYGTTAGCTTTTTATGATTAAACAACAAARTAAAAACAGAATCTCTCCTGATGATGTCRGCGACCGACAAAAGCTAGAGGGAAATTCTAAGAAGTTCTATAAACAGTAGCGTATGGCCTACTCTCCACTTTCATTCTGAACAAAACAATGCTACTGAAGGACAACTTCACTACTTTAAAAACAGAATCTATTATGTTTTAGCAGTGAATAAAGTACTTTTCAAGTATTTTATTGAGTTTGTTTGCATTCTAATTTACCCTGACCTCGGTTTGATGCGTGCGGCGCGCAGAATTGTGGGAAGTATCCACAGAGGTCCATGCAAATTGGTGTCGACTTCCACAATTTCACATAAGCCAACACGGCGATGGAGCTTTCTCTCAGACTTGAGAGAGTGGATTATAGTCATTATAAGCTTTAAATTCAAGGTCAAAGACGTATCAAGTTGAAGCAAATAATTTGAAATCTTCGAGTTTATAACAATAAAGAATCATAACAAATATAAACATTTTTGAATTTTCGAACGAAAAATTTAGTCTGCAATCTTG